TCAGTTGCTCAAGGAGTAACTCAAAGTCAAAATACATGAAATTATTTGATATAAATCATTAAAAGTGCAATTAAACAAATGAAACTTGTGCTCCAGAGAGTTTTTCTTTACAAATAAGGTTCCCTCCATGGCGATCATAACAGGCAGCTCTCTACACTTTCACATATTTTCTCTGATCAAATACTTGTATATTTGAAATCTTTGAAATTTCATAAGGCTTGGAGCCAAAATATGAGGAAATGGTGTGATTACAGGCCACGCGAACTACCTGAAGCAGTCCTTTATCAGGCATCGACACACAGAAAACAAATGATCGGCAGGTGGTTAAAACATTGCAGAGGCTGGGAGTGAAGACACAAGGAAACAGTCTCTATGGTACATTTCAGATAGCGTTGTGCTGGCTGTCGCTTAAAGATGAAGGGCACAGGGAAAAGGGCTTGTCCTTGGTCAGAGTGCCGAGTGCTCGGAGCACAATGTCGGGCATGTGATCCGTAAGCATCCTGGGGCTGATCAAAATACTCCGGAATGCCATTTCATTTGACCAGTCGGCACGGTACCGGACCTGGGAAAAGCAGGATCTAAGGAAAATAGAGGACAGAGTGACCAAATAATTTATGTGCTTATCGCTCATAACACTATAGTTAGGCTTAGGGGTTATAATGAACATGAACACATGACAGCCTAAACACAGATTACAGACTATAGATAAATAATGGAAGTAGCTTGCTTTAAAAGAATGGGGGTATTTTTTCTAATGTCCAGCAGGGGGAGACTCCTGTGGTTATAAAATGAACTGCATAGGAAAATTGCTCTCAGCTCCTTTGATCCATGCCATCAGTAACTATTTTTCTGTTGAGTTTATGTCTTCAGTTTCCAGTTTCAAGTCTTACTAAATGCAACACGATGTTGACTTTGGACATAACTTCTCTCATTAGTGTCCCAAAGAATTCGAATGGTCTGTGCACAATCATACTCCATCAGTATGCAGTAACCCTTGGTCCTTCCCCCACACATCTAGTTTGAAACACTAGCATAGAGATCAAAAATACACAACTGGTCCTCATATGCTAAGCTAGCAAAATTGCCATTGGGTTCCCTAATTGCTTTACTGTTGATGGGGATATGAAGTACTTTTGAACCGCAAACCAGTCAGTGATCAACCAAGAATGTGTCAAGAACTTTTGCCTTTCTTGAAAAAGAATTACAAGATACACAAAGTCATCAACACTTGGAGAGTCTGCTGTGAATCTGCTCATTGGAAACATGAAACATTTGCAGACCCACCTCCGCGTCGGCCCATCTTCTGTGATATGCAGAATGCGTCCCGGCAGGAAGAGAGGCAAGTGTGCAGGTGTGTGGGCGGGTGATTCATCCGATCCCAGGCTCTGATAGGAGGATGAGTGGCGAATGATTAGAGACTCCTCTCCCAGGAGGGGCTGGCTAAGCTCTTGCTCCCTCCTGTTATCCATCTCAGTGGGGCAGTCATCCGGGTCTCCGCCAAACAACTCATACCAACATCCCTGCAGCAGGATGCGGTACTGCAATGCAAACATGAAAAAGGGTCCAAAATTCACAAGTGCGACTTCAAGATATTTCCAGATAGTCTAAAGGCATAGGGCTATATGAAGGGTTCTTACTTTGGGTTTATTGCAGTTTGAAACTATTTTCAGTAGCTTTCTCTTCAGATCCTCCATGTTTGGAATGCTCAGTCTTAGCGGAAAACAAAACAAACAGAGACAGTTGATTGATTATAAGGTTGTCTGTGCAACATTCATAAAAACTCAAAAGATCGCGTTTGTCTGCAAACATTCACTAAAACAACTTGAGAAACTGGAGATTTTGTGGTCCATCCATGCTTTTTTCTCCCCTAGTGACAGGTGGTTGCCTGGGGGTCACTGACTAGTCAGTAGGCCTGTGTGATTGGGGCTTTAGCAATCATTTTCCCAGCAATGTCATCGAACTCCAGCGAACTTTCCCTGGTGGCTCATAAACCCTTTTCACAATTCACAAGCTGACATTTCCCTTCAGTAGCTTATAATCATAGGTGTATAATTAAAAGTGACACGCTTTTGAGAGTGACTTGTTGGTTTTTTTGTTTTTTTTTTGTGCTGTAGTGTAGTGATCAGAATTGTTGTCTGAAGGCCAAACAAATTTATTTCCCCAAGTGGACCA